TACCGTCCTCCGTACCTAGCACACTGTCCCGTCCCCCGTACCTAGCACACTGTACCGAGACACCCGTACCTAACACACTGTACCGTCATCCGTATCTAGCACACTGTACCGTCCTCCGTACCTAACACACTGTACCGTCCTCCGTACATAGCACATTGTACCGACCTCCGTACCTAGCACACTGTACCGTCCTCCGTACCTAGCACACTGTACCGAGACACCTGTACCTAACACCCTATACCGTCCTCCGTACCTAGCACACTGTACCGTCCTCCGTACCTAGCATACTGTACCGAGACACCTGTACCTAGGACACTGTACCGACACACCTGTATCATCTTACCTCGATGAGATAGGGATAAAATACCACCAATGTTTTATTTCTAGTAACAAAAGCCACCGGCTTGACCCCTGGTTTATCTTCCATCAGTTAGGACTGACGTTTATGACTGGTTGTAAACATGGCCAGTTTGCTCCTGATAAGTCAGCATCTGCACCTTGCATGGCCTGTTATATGGTATGCAGCAGAACGAAGGAGATCTATCAATAAACTATCAGTTTCGTTGCGGTTTAGACCATGTCTAAAACTCCCACTAATAAAAATAAAAACCCCTAACATTGGACAAATCGTATCCGAATGTGGTAAGTTAAATTGGTGCGCAGCAAAATCCGAAACAGGTAAAAAATACCTGATTGTTTTATGGAAATGTGGGGTGATACTTTGGTAGTTAACTTCCTCAGAACAGATACATTCCCTGACACAATATCTATATCTCTGTCTACTTGTATAGAGAACCCGTTAAAATCATCCTTTTTGTATTTTCCTCACACTTCATTTTGAATAAACCGTTCTCTTTATTTTGAACAATTAACGCCGAACCACTCAGGACGACCCGATCGTCACTAAGATGCTTTAACACGAAGGTGTATCATCTCCCCGGCAAATAATGATAGCATTGGGTATAGGCTATCCTCGTAAAGCGTAAATTTAAAGAAAAAAAGTTTAGAAGATCAGTGATATTCTTGTGAACACCAACCAACAATTTGAAAAGTATGGAGGTCCGCGCATTTCCGGGCATAAAATGAAATTAAACTGCCAAATCGGACTTAATACTGCGGCTAACCAGACCAACTAGGTTCGCGTGGGAATTGTGCCGATTTGTGGTCAAGATGATGTTAAGCATTGTCCGAAATGATGTAATACGACATCCAATGACCCCTATCGCTGATGATTCTGCTGACCATCAAAATGGACATCTGGACGACACATGGTCAGAGATTTTGACAGTTATTGGTTGATGTATCAAAGATAAAATCGCGAGCAATAAAGATGGTTTCATGGTACATGAACTCTCGTGTATCGTAAACAACGTCAATTAATTGCTGACAGCTTATCTCTAATCGTCTACCTAGTGCTTGATTTGGTAATTGAATATGTTTAAATCACAATCTGTGGTGGTATTTTATTACTTGTGTGGAGTTATAAGCCTAGGAGCTTGAGAACATAACACATTAATTAACAATATTTATAAATTAAACAGAATTAATGTGTTATCTTCGATAAATTATTATCAGTTTAGTGTACATGTATATGGTTGTTTGTGTGGATATGGTAATACGGTATTTAAACAGATTTCTTATTAAATTGAAGAAGATGGATAGCTCAAGTTGTTACAACATTTTATATACTTTCTACACAGCACATTTAGCCCATAACGTGAACATTTGTGAAATGCCTTTACTTTAAAAAAAAAGTGAAAACAATGAATTTTAAAGGAAAACCAATACAACAAAACATCTTATAAATTTAAAACAGTTGAAATACAGTCTCGACTGACCCAAACATTTCGCTGGAGTTAAGCTCATTTTACTCAGTGCTTCAACATTTTTTTCAACTTCAAATGTAACTTTATTTCTCTTTATAAAATAATTGATATACAAAGGAAACATATTTACAACAGCATTCAACATCACAATTAAATGTTATTATATGGAGGACAAATCATGATCCTTTTTTTTAACAAATGTTGCTTAATTTGCATAATATCGTATTTCAAATGCACAGGATTTTTTTTTAATTTCAGTAGAGTCAGTATAACATTTTTTGTATGCATTAGTTCTGAGAACTTAACAGTATTGCTAACCAACATAATTCAACCACATGCTTTTCCGCTGGTATTCCCGAATCTAGCTTTAGTCATGCCGGTCAGTTTGTGGAGATCAGACGGTGATGTTTGGACAGTGTCCAGTACAACAGTATCCTTATTAAATACTACATCCATCTAAACTCGACTGGTTGATTCACTGATGAGACTACATTTGTTTCACATTACATTAAATGTTCCCGTTGAGCTGTGCAGTGATTTGATACGAGGCCGTTGACAGACTCCGGTATTTATTGCGAGGTATCTGTTGGGTGACATAAGACGTACCATTCACGTAATGATCCACACTCTATCCGAACCGTGATGTAGATAAAAGTACACCACTTAATGTGTTGACAAGTCTAATAATTTATATCAACAGCTGAGAGTATCTGTCATCAACCAAAATTGTCGTACAAATTAGTGTGTTGATATGTTTAGTAGACAGAACTTTAACAATGAGTGGCGGGGGAACCCAAGGCGCATGTGAATAAACATAAATAAAACATTAATTGGTTGGAGTAAGTTGAAATGGTATATATTTCCTGAATTAATTAACGTATAACCGTCTGGGTTTTATCCAATATTTACTCATGTTACCAGAAACTGTCATCGTAAATACATGTTACACAGATGATAGAAGCTGCAGATGCCTGACATGGCTTAATGCTGTGTCTGCCTAACATGGCATAATGCTGTGACTGCCTGACATGGCATAATGCTGTGGCTGCCTGACATGGCATAATGCTGTGGCTGCCTGACATGGCTTAATGCTTTGTGACATAAATGCTGTGTCTGCCTGACATCACATAATGCTGTGTCTGCCTGCCATGGCTTAATGCTGTGTGACATAAATGCTGTGTCTGCCTATCATGGCATAATGCTGTGTCTGCCTGACAGGGCGTGTCTGCCTGACATGGCATAAAGCTGTGTCTGCCTGAAATGGCTTAATGCTGTGTCTGACTGACATGACATAATGCTGTGACTGCCTGACATGGCATAATGCTGGGTCTGCCGGTCATGTCATAATGCTGTGTCTGCCTGGAATGGCATAAATGCTGTGTCTGCCTAACATGCCATAATGCTGTGTCTGCCTGACAGGGCGTGTCTGCCTGACATGGCATAATGCTGGGTCTGCCGGTCATGTCATAATGCTGTGTCTGCCTGGAATGGCATAAATGCTGTGTCTGTCTAACATGGGATAATGCTGTGTCTGCCTGACCTGGCATAATGCTGTGTCTGCCTTACATGACATAATGCTGTGTCTGTCTGCCATGGAAAAAATGCTGTGTCTGTCTAACAAGGCATCATGCTGTGACTGCCTGACATGGCATAATGCTGGGTCTGCCGGTCATGTCATAATGCTGTGTCTGCCTGGAATGGCATAAATGCTGTGTCTGCCTACCATGGCATAATGCTGTGTCTGTCTAACATGGGATAATGCTGTGTCTGCCTGACATCGCGGGTCTGCCTGACATGGCATAATTGTTACCAGAAACTGTCATCGTAAATACATGTTACACAGATGATAGAAGCTGCAGTTGCCTGACATGGCTTAATGCTGTTTCTGCCTAACATGGCATAATGCTGTGACTGCCTGGCATGGCATAAATGCTGTGTCTGTCTAACATGGGATAATGCTGTGTCTGCCTGACCTGGCATAATGCTGTGTCTGCCGGACATGGCTTAATGCTGTGTCTGGCTGACATGACATAATGCTGTGTCCGCTTGACATGGCATAATGTTGTGTCTGCTTGACATGGCATAATGCTTTGTCTGCCTGACATGGCTTAATGCTGTGTCTGCCTGACATGACATAATGCTGTGTCTGCCTGGCATGGCATAAATGCTGTGTCTGTCTAACATGGCATAATGCTGTGTCTGCCTGACATGGCTTAATGCTGTGTCTGCCTGACATGGCGTGTCTGCCTGACATGGCATAATGCTGTGTCTGCCTGACATGGCATAATGCTGTGTCTGCCTGAACGCAAAATGACAGATTATATGTGTATTATATTGCGCATTTGACATAGCTTAAACACTGTACCACAGCCAGCCGTACGTTAAATTGTTTATGCTGATCCTCATTTAAAAGAAAAAAACAGTATATTTATGTATAAACGGGCGATATCCCTAAATTACAAAGAGAACTATCTAACAGCCCCATCAGTCAGTATCTCGTCAGTAACTGTTATACAACTGGTAATAAACACTGTCTACCTAGTGATCTATCTAATTTATGTCTGTCTTTTTGCCTCAATATTTATCTTAAGTTTTCATATGGCGGTTTTTTTATATAGCAAATATACTTTCTTCTAAAAAATCATGATTTATTTTTTCAGAGCAGCAGCCGTAAATAACGTTTTATTATGGCTTTGCTGACATACATACACTGTTACGTGTTGGGTAGTACAGAGTCGTTTTTGAAATGCACCGGCATTTTTTCTGTATTTTAATTTCTATATAAAATAACGAGAAATTTTAATGTTTCCATAAAATCCTGATGTCGATAGACGTAGGAATTAGGAATGTGTACTTTGAAGCGATACACAGAATGTATCTATGTGTCACTGTGTTAATTCACGTTACGTAGTCCCTGATACTAATAATGTATACAATAAGTACGGCGTACCTTCTGTGACACCAAATGACAATCTTATGTAATACTTTTAATGATACGAAACTGTTAATAACTAAATACATGTACATTTGAGATGAATTTCTTTATGAATTTCTTCATCCTCCTAAAATTTGTGTTTAGCCGTCACACGGGTCAATTTACTCTGGGCCATTAAATCATCTCCATGTTTGAGTGCTTGTTTGTTCACATTTTAATATACTGTTTGTTATTTACAGTTGTGTTTGCTGCTCTTTACGATTGCATCCCCCTGTCGGCGGGGACGGGCGTCGAGTCGGGTAAGTCTGATGCATGAGAAGTAGTAGACAGATTTAGGTGTTAGATTCCTTTGCTAGGTTCAATTCGTACCGGCCCACAATTAGTTTCACTTAATCTCTTTTGAAAAGAGTATGTTATTACGGAATGTTATAATATAAGTTAATAATAAACTCCCAGTTTAAAAGTGATATAGCAATACTCCAATTGGTAGAGAATGTGTTATAACATTGGATATGAATGTCAAAAGAACCTTGGCCGTTCTTTATTTAAGGAAAACTGAAACAAGAGAAATTGACAACGAAGACAACCACTTTTCCAAATATATAGGGGCAACATTCTCCAGATATGTTTAGTACATCAGGTCTTAGTTACATAGGGCTGGAACACCACACCACAATAACTGATCACTGGGTTGTAAATGGGAGAATCCATATACCTTATAGTCTGTGTATATACCAGAGGACCTTCTGATACACTTATATCTACTGCCACGATACAATTCCCGATCAAACATCCGAGCGCTGGAATCTGTTGGACGATATGGCACAATACACTATTGCATTTGGATACCATTCTGTGCTCATAACTTACGACAAAAGTACATCGCATACACGTACTTTAGTCTGACCCTCTCGCCCTTTATCTCCTACCGTTTTACAGAGTGTACCATCATTGAAAAAGATGATAAGAACAAAACTAGAATGGGTGGCAACTGATCTGCTCATATACTTTTGTAGATATCAACCGGATGTGGAATTATCAGGGGAGGTAATCAAAGATTATAACAATCAACGCGAGACAACAGGCACTTGTAAATGTCGTGGAACTCTTTTAGTAGTACAAATAAATCTGGCTTACTATAATTCACATGTAAAAATTAAGTACAACAGTTGCTCTTGGACTATAGAGATAAAGCGTAAATCAAATGCATTTGTAGTTGAAAACGCAAGCCTTTATCGTTATAGTTTTGAGCTCTGAATTTAACCTTGTGGCATAACGCCTTGGTATAGTTTGTCCTCGTATAAAGGCGCTAAGGTATATTTATACACTGGTATAGTTTGCCCTAGTTCTATTTAATTTTACCTCGTTGTGTTGACTAAGTGGTAGATTTTGTCTTGTGTACTGATGATGGGGTATACTTCGTCCCTATTTGCTGATGATGGGGTTTACTTCGTCCCTATTTGCTGATGATGTGAACTATTTTGCACGCAGGCGTTGACGTCATAGCGTGTTTGCCCAAGTACGGCAATACTGTGGTGGTATGTTGTATCCTTGTGTTGACGCTGTAATGTTGTATTGTTACCTTGGGTGTTAACTATGTGGTACACTATGACCCTTTGTGTTAACGATGTGGTACACTATGACCCTTTGTGTTAACGATGTGGTACACTATGACCCTTTGTGTTGACAATGCGGTACACTATGACTCTTTGTGTTAACGATGTGGTACACTATGACCCTTTGTGTTGACAATGTGGTACACTATGACCCTTTGTGTTAACTATGTGGTACACTATGGGCCTTTGTGTTGACGATGTGGTTCACTATGACCCTTAGTGTTAACTATGTGGTACACTATGACCGTTTGTGTTGACGATGTGGTATACTATGACCCTTTGTGTTAACGATGTGGTACACTATGACCCTTTGTGTTAACTATGGGGTACACTATGACCCTTTGTGTTGACGATGTGGTACACTATGACCCTTTGTGCTAACTATGTGGTACACTATGACCCTTTTTGTTGACGTTGTGGTACACTATGACTCTTTGTGTTAACTATGTGGTACACTATGAACCTTTTTGTTGACGTTGTGGTACACTATGACTCTTTTTGTTGACGTTGTGGTACACTATGACCATTTGTGTTTACTATGTGGTTCACTATGACCCTTTGACGATGTGGTACACAATGACCCATTGTGTTAACTATGTGTTACACTATGGCCCTTTGTGTTGACGATGCGGTACACTATGACCCTTGTTGTTGACGTTGTGGTACACTATGACTCTTTGCGTTAACTATGTGTTACACTATGGCCCTTTGTGTTAACAATGTCGTACACTATGACCCTTTTTGTTGCCGATGTGGTACACTATGCCCCTTTGTGCTAACTATGTGTTACACTATGGGCCTTTGAGTTAACAATGTCGTACACTATGACCCTTTGTGGTGACGATGTGGTACACTGACCCTTTGTGTTGACGATGTGGTACACTATGACCCTTTGTGTTGACAATGTGGTACACAATGACCCTTTGTGTTAACTATGTGTTACACTATGGGCCTTTGTGTTAACAATGTGGTACACTATGACCCTTTGTGTTGACGATGTGGTACACTATCACTCTTTGTGTTGACGATGTGGTACACTATGACTCTTTGGGTTGACGATGCGGTACACTATGACCCTTTGTGTTGACGATGTGGTACACTACGACCCTTTGTGTTAACTACATGTATGTGGTTCACTATGACCCTTTGTGTTAACTATGTGGCACACTATGGGCCTTTGTGTTAACTATGTGGTACACTATGGGCCTTTGCGTTAACTATGTGGTACACTATGACCCTTTGTGTTAGCTATGTGGTACACTATGACCCTTTGTGTTGACGTTGTGGTACATTATGACCCTTTGTGTTAACTATATGGTACACTATGACTCCTTGTGTTAACTATGTGGTACGCTATGACCCTTTGTGTAGACGATGTCGTACACTATGACCCTTTGTGTTGACGATGTGGTAAACTATGACTCTTTGTGTTGACGATGTGGTACACTATGACTCTTTGGGTTGACGATGCGGTACACTATGACCCTTTGTGTTGCCGATGTGGTACACTATGACTCTTTGTGTTGACGTTGTGGTGCACTATGACCCTTTGTGTTAACTACATGTATGTGGTTCACTATGACCCTTTGTGTTAACTATGTGGCACACTATGGGCCTTTGTGTTAACTATGTGGTACACTATGACCCTTTGTGTTGACGATGGGGTACACTATGACCCTTTGTGTTGACGATGTGGTAAACTATGACTCTTTGTGTTGACGATGTGGTACACTATGACCCTGTGTGTTGACGATGTGGTACACTATGACCCTTTGCGTTGACGACGTGGTACACTATGACCCTTTGTGTTGACGATGTGCTACACTATGACCCTTTGTGTTGACGTTGTGGTACATTATGACCCTTTGTGTTAACTATATGGTACACTATGACTCCTTGTGTTAACTATGTGGTACGCTATGACCCTTTGTGTTAACTATGTGGTACGCTATTACCCTTTGTGTTGACGATGTGGTACACTATGCCCCTTTGTGTTGACGATGTGGTACACTATGACTCTTTGGGTTGACGATGCGGTACACTATGACCCTTTGTGTTGACGATGTGGGACACTATGACCCTTTGTATTGACGATGTGGTACACTATGACCCTTTGTGTTAACGATGTGGTACACTATGACCCTTTGTGTTGACAATGTGGTACACAATGACCCTTTGAGTTAACTATGTGTTACACTATGGGCCTTTGTGTTAACAATGTGGTACACTATGACCCTTTGTGTTGACGATGGGGTACACTATGACCCTTTGTGTTGACGATGTGGTAAACTATGACTCTTTGTGTTGACGATGTGGTACACTATGACCCTGTGTGTTGACGATGTGGTACACTATGACCCTTTGTTTTGACGATGTGGGACACTATGACCCTTTGTGTTGACGATGTGGTACACTACGACCCTTTGTGTTAACTACATGTATGTGGTTCACTATGACCCTTTGTGTTAACTATGTGGCACACTATGGGCCTTTGTGTTAACTATGTGGTACACTATGACCCTTTGTGGTGACGATGTGGTACACTATGCCCCTTTGTGTTGACGATGTGGTACACTATGACCCTTTGTATTGACGATGTGGTACACTATGACCCTTTGTGTTGACGATGTGGGACCTATGACCCTTTGTGCTAACTATGTGGTACACTATGACCCTTTTTGTTGACGATGTGGTACACTATGACCCTTTGTGTTAACTACATGTATGTGGTTCACTATGACCCTTTGTGTTAACTATGTGGCACTCTATGGGCCTTTGTGTTGACGATGTGGTACACTATGACCCTGTGTGTTGACGATGTGGTACACTATGACCCTTTGTATTGACGATGTGGTACACTATGACCCTTTGTGTTAACGATGTGGTACACTATGACCCTTTGTGTTGACGATGTGGTACACTATGACCCTTTGTGTTGACGTTGTGGTACACTATGACCCTTTGTGTTAACTATATGGTACACTATGACTCTTTGTGTTAACTATGTGGTACGCTATGACACTTTGTGTTAACTATGTGGTACGCTATGACCCCTTGTGTTAACTACGTGGTACACTATGACTCTTTGTGTTAACTATGTTGTACGCTATGACCCTTTGTGTTAACTATGTGCTACGCTATGACCCTTTGTGTTAACTACGTGGTGCACTATGACTCTTTGTGTTAACTATGTGGTACGCTAAGACCCTTTGTGTTAACTATGTGGTACGCTATGCCCCGTTGTGTTAACTACGTGGTACTCTATGACTCTTTGTGTTAACTATGTGGTACACTATGACCATTTGTGTTAACTATATGGTACACTATGACTCTTTGTGTTAACTATGTGGTACACTATGACCATTTGTGTTAACTATATGGTACACTATGACTCTTTGTGTTACTATGTGGTACGCTATGACCCTTTGTGTTAACTACGTGGTGCACTATGACTCTTTGTGTTAACTATGTGGTACGCTATGACACTTTGTGTTAACTATGTGGTACGCTATGACCCTTCGTGTTAACTACGTGGTACACTATGACTCTTTGTGTTAACTATGTGGTTCACTATGACTCTTTTTGTTAACTATGTGGTACACTATGACCCTTTGTGGTAACTATGTGGTACACTATGACCCTTTGTGTTAACTAAATGTATGTGGATCACTATGACCCTTTGT